CTCTCCCAGCTTTTAAGGTTCTCTCCTGTGCCCTCCAGGAGCTCAGAAAGCCGTTCTGTAGCTTGACTTTATGAAGCTCTAACTTCTATCCTCTTTTCTCTTTTGATCCGATTGGATCTCTGTGATGCAACATGACTTGTTCCTTCCCTGGGAGGCAGCTGGTACTACGTCTATAACCTTGAGCACATTGCTATGCATCCCGCACTGCAGTTCTCCACGGAGATAGCTAACTTGGATTGTTGTAGTAAGTTAATGACTCATGGAGTCGTAGCCAGTATATAATTAGGATCTTTATCTGCGAGGAAAAGAGGGAGAATTGGGACAGATCAAAATGATGCTTTGGTTTCTCTCAGATGTTAGCCTTTCTTTGAGTACAGGATTTCTATGGCTTAATTGCTCTAGAATTCGCTAGTTGATAAGTTAACCTACTTCTCTGTAGATCAAATCAGCCAGGTACCTCTGCAATTCTTGATGCTGGAATGGACTCTTCTGTCCCTTTTTGAACTATTGAATGCCATGCAAGCACTCTCTGGCTTGGGAGAAAGACTTAAAGCCATGACCAACTTCTTCCATTCTTCTCTTGGGTCACTGTCAGGGTTAATGGGTGAATCAGCAAATGGACAAGAATGCCTTTTGTGTCTCTCAGCTCCTGAAAATGCAGGATATTGGCTGCTCCTGCTCCAGAAACCACTTCAGCTCCTGTTTCAGAATCAGACAGACCAGCCGCCTCCTCTCCTCCTCTGCTCAGTCAGTTCCTTTTCTTTTCTCCCTCAGTGTGTTCTAGAATGATGTGCTTGGCTTACACACAGGCAACGTTGCTTAAATCCATTTATGTTAACTGTCTGACTTTTATGCCCAATGAATTTATAGCACTATAATGATTATTCATATCATTAAGTATGAGTTGGATTAACTTTGTTATAAATTACATGTGATAATAGTTGCTGAGTTTTATTTAAATGAAGTTAATGGTGTTTCTCATCAAATGTAATCATTTGACTTTATGTTCTTAAATTTTGAGGAAATTTCAGAAGTTGGTAATTAAAAGAGTTGCAATGAAGTGCTGAATACAATTATGACTAAATTATGAATTCATTTATTCATTTATTCTTGCATTCAGTTAACATTTATTCAATGCTCAATACTGTATTAAGAGTATTAGAAGCGTAAATGCTATGGTTCTACCTTCTAGGAACTGACAATCTAGGGTGGGAGACATATTAGTAAGCAAACAATAACACGGGGTGGCAGGTTACTAGATAAGGATGGGGGCCCTCGCCCACACTGCGAGGCAGGACTGGGGGACACCAGGGAGGTGTTCTGAGATAGATTCCACTGGACCTGAATCCTAGGCAGCATGTAAGATTAAATCAGGTAGGGCAGTGGTTGGCAAACTCATTAGTCAACAGAGCCAAATATCAACAGTACAATGATTGAAATGTCTTTTGAGAGCCAAATTTTTTAAACTTCTTCTAGTGCCACTTTTTCAAAATGGACTCGCCCAAGCCGTGCTATTTTGTGGAAGAGCGACACTCAAGGGGCCAAAGAGCCACATGCCGACCATGGAGGTAGGGGAAAAAGGACAGGGGAGATACAGGCAAGGGAATAGCTTCATTGGGCATAAAAACAAGAAAGACATGGGATATTTGGGAAACTCTGAATATTAGTGTGAATATAGACCAATGTGTGGTAGGAAAATTGTCTAATGTGATTGTAGGCTAGTGTGTGGTGGAGAGCATGGAAGAGATCATGTTAGTATATTTGCAAGGTTGTGCAATCATTACCATTATCTCATTTGAGAACATTTTTATCATCCTAAAATAAACTTTATACCCATTAATCATTCTCAGTTCCTCCCATCCTCCAGCCTTCGGCTGCACTACTTTGCTTCCTGGATCTATGGGTTTTCCTATTACCACCTTTTATATAAATTGAATAATACAATATGTGACATTTTGTACATGGCTTCTTTCGTGTAGCGTAATGTTTTCAGTGTTCATCCATGTTGTAGCCTGTAGGTACTCCATTCCTTTTCATGGCTGAATAATATTCCTTTGTATGGATATACCACATCCATATGGTGGATGTTTGGGTTGTTTCCACTTTTCCTCTGGTTTGTATAATGCTGCTCTGGCTTTGTTTTTAGAGGCTTCACTAGGAACCTGTTATCATAAGATATATCTTATTATTATTATTATTAATTATTTTATTATTTTATTGTATTATAATTATTGTATTGCCTCTTTCTCCTGATAGCCTATAAACTCCATAAGTGTACAAATCATAGTTATCTTGTTATTCACAGGCCACAAGTTTGACATGCTTACTTTTGCATCCAGCATAGTACATGCATCTGAGAAACACGTGAACGAGTCAATTAAGGAAGGCAGTTCTATAGCTGTAAGCAAGACCTTTGAGCTGCTCCTCTAGCTTACCTTATGTCATTAACCGAGGGGCCCTGTCCCTCACGCTGCTTAGCGTGTGGGTTTGAGGTTGAGGATTCTGCTGTGGATATTTCCTGACAGTTTTGATTGTTCGGAGAGTGGAGCAGCTTCAGAATTTGTTGGGTTGAGTTGAGAGTTGCCACCTATCAACAGAAGTCAGGGGAAGGCTAGATTGGTTCTGACAGCGTGTGCTCTGGGGGCATTCGGGACGTTTATTAGTCAGGGAAGTAGACCATGATCCCAAGTTGGTCTGTTGCCTTGCCAATTAAAACTGCCTGCCCGGGCATGTGTCACTGCCCCAACATAGGATTCTTTCCCATTGGGGATACTGAAGAAGTCCACCCATGTCAGTATTTTTCCCTTTGCTTCTCTCACCCCCTCTTTGCCCAACTCTTCCTTGATCACCTCTGACCTTGTTCTGGGAGACTTTCTGGCGCTTAGTGCAAAATGTTGCCTAACTTCTCATTCTCTCTGTCAAAGATCAGAGGGTTTAATCAGGGCAGGGTCATCTCATTTATCTGTTGCTTCAAATACAGCCCTGGTTGTCGGGGCCTGCCTTTCCCTGGGACACCTCGCTCAGGCGCTAAATCCTATTTCTCAACCTTCAACCCCATAAGAACCCGAGTGGAACGCTGGGCACCAGGGCTGGGGGCTGCAAGGGCAAGGCTGGCTGTGGCTTGTGCCCTGGCAGCCTGTGCCTCCCCCTCGCTCCTGCATCTGCATCTGCCCGCTCCTTGCCTCGGGAGAATGACAGGAAGGGAGAAGGCTGCTGCCAGCGTGCCTGTGTGTGTGCCTGTGGGAGGCAGATGAAGAGGGCTGGCAGCCGTGCACCAAGTGGGCTCTGTTCCATGTCTCTGAGCTGACGGAAGGGAAGGAGGTTCAGATGCTGCCCGGGAGCTGTGATCGGAGCTACAGCTCAGACAATCCTGGAATGACTGTTCTAGACTTCGCACTCATCTCTACACAAAGCAGCGTGGCAGGCTGAGGGGGCTGAGTCTAGAGCTATCTCAGCATTCTTGGTATCTGGATAATTATCTCCCTGTACTAGTATATAAACGTCAAAGAAAATATAAATAAAGATGTCCCTAAAATATAATGTGTTCTTGGCGGGGTAGCCATGGCTTTACTTTTTATGCTGTGTTACTGCTGTTCAGCTCTCCCAGGTGGAGGAAGATGAGTTTGGCTGCCAAGTAATTACCATTAAAGCTCTGGTTTAAAGACCCAGTGCATCCATTGTTTCATTAAGATCCAATGAATGCATTGTTTTATTTAAACTTTTATGCCAGGTTATTACAACAGATTCCAGATTCTTCTTGATGGTTATATAAACATGCTTTTTTTTTTTTTTTTTGCTTTTTTTTTTAATGTGAATTCTTAATTTCCCAGGCCAGGCTAAGACTGTCAGATAAGACTGTCAATAATCAGGGTAGCAATCATTATGACAATAAAACCTCATTTTGGGCCTGAGCCTCCATGGTGGAATTTTGGGGACACAAAGAGCCTCCCTCTACCCCCACCCCAATGCAGTATCCTGGAAGAGCACATCAGCTGTTCTTGGAGCAAATAAAACTCTGCTGTAGGCTCTGGGATTAATCACTGCTCAGCCATAGAAGGTGCTAACAGCGGACGTCCTTCTGGCAGCTCATTTCATGAAGATGTGGCTGCCACAAACGTGAGCACATTGCTCATCCTGCCCTTGTGGGTCAGTCATGGCCACAGTTTCCAAGGTCACCTTAAGACCTGCTGAAGTGGCCCAGGTGCACCAGGAAATCTTTCTGTTTTCCTTTGCTCCTCTATATTACTCCAGGGGCTTCTATTGTTGTAACTATTAAAAATATGTTGTTATTGACTTGAGAGAGTACAAAGGAGAGGGAGAAGGGAGAGGGAAAGAGAGCAATTGAGGTGAGAGAGAAACATCAATCAGCTGCCTCTTGCACGCCCCCTCCTGGAGATCAAGCCCGCAATCTGCACATACCCTGACTAGAAGTCAAACCAGCGACCTCTTGGTGCATGGGACAATACTCAACCCCTAAGCCACGCAGGCCAGGGGGCACCTATTTTTTAAATTAAACCTTTTTGCTAGCCTCCTGTTTTCTTGAGAAACTTGAAATAAATTATCTTGAGATGTATCAGAGCATGTCTCAGAAGCCTTCGCTATTGCTCTCAAGTAACTCTCTCATAGTTAGTGTCCCAGGACAGACACCAGGCACTTCAACTCTGTCACACATCAGTGCAAATTCCCTCATCTGTAAAATTGTCTTAACCTGCCATCGTTAGACACCAAGTTCCTTAGCACTGTTGGTCCTAAGGGGAGTGGAGGGGAGGCTGCAGGAGCTCACAGATGGGTTTGTTGGAGCTTCCTCGGAATAAACTGCAATGCTATCATAACAAACAACCCGCACATCTCAGTGCCTGAGAACAAAAGAAGGGGTTTGTGTGTGCATTTTGTTTCCTCAGACATGTCCAGAGGCAGTGGCATTGTAGGTACCTTGGAGGATCACACTAATGGAGACTTGTCAGCTTCTGGCCCCTCCGTCTCTCCTGGTGTTCAGGCTTTGCGTAGGAGACACCAGGTCAGCGGTGCTCAACCTGTGGGTCGCGATCCCTTTGGGGATCGAAGGACCCTTTCACAGGGATCGCCTAAGACATCCTGCATATCAGATGTTACATTACCATTCATAACAGTAGCAACATTACAGCTATGAAGCAGCAATGGAAATAATTTTATGGTTGGGGGTCACCACACATGAGGGTCGCGGCGTTAGGAAGGGTGAGAACCACTGCACCAGGTAAGCAGGCTCTCAGACACTTCCACTGGGAAGCGATGCATTTCATTTCTGTCCACTGTCCCTGGCCAAACCAAGTCTCTGAATAGGCGTTTTTGGTGAATTCTGGAAGGGAGGGATGGAGGCTTAGCCAGAAGGAGCTTGGGAGATGTCTGAGTGGGTTGGAAGGTATAATGAAAAGCCCAGAACTGCCACAATCGGTTTTCTGCTGGTAGCATTTATCAGTCTTGCAAGGGAGCATTTATCATCCACAAGGGAAGCTGACATCACTCAGCACAAGGTCTAGAACTAGTAGATGATGCTCTTGCAGAGCCGGGCTATTTGGAGCCTCAGTCTTTACCAAGAGCATGAAATGCCACAGAACGGCAGAAGTCAGTGTGTGAGGCCCCTCCGGGTGCCCCTGTCCTGCCAACATCAGCGGTGACGGGAGAGCGTGGGAATCACTGCCAGTACGCCAGGTCCCGCCACAGCACCTGCGGGTGAGCACGCACCCGCTGCCCGTGGGAAGACACACTCCCTGGGTTTGAAACAGGAGTCGAGTGAGCGGGAAGCCAGTCCTCCCCATGTAGACAGTGGGTTCGTGAGTGGCTCATCACACATCTGAAACTTGCTTGGCATGGAACCAACACACAGGGGAAATGCAGTTTTTTAAATGATGTAGAATTTTCAGCCATCGCCTTATGCATTCCAAGCACATTTATTATTAGATATGCCATGCCACATTGTTCTTAAAAAGTGTAATAACCAGTTTTAGCCTCTTTGGCTGCTTTATTATCTCCTTAGCACTTACCATAATGTAACATTCTAAAATGTTTACCTATTTATTGTAATTATCTGTCTTGCCCACTAGAAACAATTCCCCTAAATGTTACAGTACCTGGTGCAGCGAAGGCCCTCATCAAACACTTATTTCATATGTGAGTGAGCAGTGCTCATTCTAATTAAAGCTCGCTTCTTAGCACAGTGATGCATGGTGTGCCCTCAAAACATGGCCTTATTACACTCTCCTGTGTTAGGAATTTACTAATAAAAAATAGTATCCCGGTTTACCTTCCTTTACTGTTAAATATGCCATACTTTCGAGCAGCTACTACATGCCAGGCATTCTTTACATCCAGGCGTAAAACACAGATCCCAGGAGGATTGATTGTCTTCTCAGGGTGGCAGTGGAGGGAAATAGTCAATAAACACAGTAGATATAGTAGTAGTATGTGTTGAAGCCACACATGCTGTGAAATAAAGAAACAGAGAGTAGGTGAAGAGGATGGAATGGGTAGGGGAAAGGGAGGAGCAGAAGCATCAGTTTGGATGGTCAGGGGGAGCCTCATGGACCAGGCGAGATTTAGACATAGACCTCCAGGACCCTGAGGTTGCGGGAAGTCACCAGGCCTCTGTGAGGCTGCCGCTGAGTGCTGGCTAGAGGTCTCAGTCCCAGCTGGAGGTTTAGACAGGGACAGTGATGGCAGAGATGGCAAAAAGGAGTCAGATTCACAAATATTTACCAAATTTCTGTCTAATCACTGCTTCTGGCCCTGCCTGTGGTAGGTGGGGGTAAGTGTACGCACACTGTGGAGGCCCCGGAGCCTGCCTTTTATGCCCAGAATCATTATAAGTGTCTTGGTTACCAAACATTGTGTCCAGCACTGAGACCCACGTGGCCAGGTGCACACTGTGAAGAGAAGATTTAAAGCGGGGGAGAGGGGGAGATATGTAGGAGAACAAGCCATCAAGACAGTGGTGGGTGTGATATGGGCACAAGGGAAGAGCAGATCTCAGGGATGACTCCTGTGTGTGTGAGATGACAATGGCAGGCAATGTTGTCACGCACTGATATAAAGAATGCTGGAAGAGGAAGTTTTGGTGGAGCTTACAATTTGATACTAGATGGGCTAAGTTTGAGGTCTGCTTTTCTCACTACATACCTCAACATTTCTCCTTTATTTTTAAAAATTTCAGGTATATGTAAATATATGTTTGCATATGTATTATATATACATACATATATTATGAGATATTATTCCTTCAAGGACTGTAACAGTAATCTATCCTAATTTTGATGACTTTATTCACATAGAAATTCAGTTAAGTGATAGATAAGTATAGCTATTCTTAAACAACTTTATGCAAAAGAAGGAAAATACTGTTAAGCACCAGCTAGAGATAGACTTTCATTTCATGCTCACAATTAATCTATGCTGTACATACAAAGGTGGGTTTTTTGTTTTTCTATTATGCTGATATGTAAAGGGAGGCAGGGAAAAGTTAATTAATTTGCTCAATCTTTAAGCTGGGAATTGAACCCAGCCAAATTTTTCTTTTTCTGGAGTGAGCTGATAGACTTGTAACAATTGGCTTATAATTTCTCATTTAAATGACACTTCACCTGAGAGAGCTTCCCATATACTCTCCCCCAAATCCTAGAAATATAGTCTAGATGTACCCTCCTATGAGCTCCCCAAATTCCATGTGTTTCCTTTGTCCATAGCACTCATTCATTACCTTTTCATAGACTGTAAGTTTTTTTGAGGGCAGACTATTATTTTTTATTTTATCTTCATTTCTTATCATACTGAGCAGAACTTTATAAGGCAATAATTGTTTCTGAATTGAGAGTTAACCTCCTCTCTGCTTAAGGGCTGTTAAACTGGTATGTTTTACCTTTTACAGGGTTGTGAGTACATATTCATGTGGGACACCCTATTTCAGGGCTACAGTACTCTTGCCCTTGAGAATTTTTGACTGAAAAGAAAGGAAAGCAAGCAGAGCCAAACCAAACAAATCAAGCAGCAAAATAGCAAAAACACTTCATGAATCTCAAATTAGTGGACGTCTGATAGGAGAGATGTTTGGAAATAGATGGTGGTTTAGCTAAAAGGAATTGAGTTCTTGAGTAAAGGAATGAAAATGAGACAATTGCGTTCATCAGCTTCAAGTATTGGCTTAACTCACTAGGCATTTAAACACCCCCATGTAATAGAGGTCACAGTGTTTTGAGGTTCCTTATCACGTGAAGACATGCAGAGGTCCTGCCTGCAGGCACTGGGCCGGTGGAATTTACTTTTCAGAGAAAGCTACAGGTTTCAGTTCACTCTCTAATCACTGGAATCCACTTCAAGGTGGATTTGACATTTTGCACAGTGGACATGGCTGACTTTCTTCCCTTTGTATCAATGAAATAAAGGCTTAAGGGACATTTTTCTGGCTTAGTCAACAAAATATCCTCTTCCTTATGACTTTTGACTTTTGAGTACTATAAACGTATCACTTTCAACTCTTGCGTGACCAACACTGGACCGTGGGCAACCTCCTGCAAGTTTGTACCCACAGCTTCCTCATTTGATTTTTGTGGTCAAAGACATCCACCTGCTTCTGAATTTTGAGTTATGGTGAAAGGTTGGTGGACATGGGAAACTGGAAATCATGCAACACAACCCTTTGGACTCTACTATTTCCCTTGCCTTCACTTAACTCCACTTTTTCTTCTCTTCTTTTCCATATATTGAAATTGCTACAGCGCAAACTGGGACAAAGCCTTTAGTAGAAGGAAGAATAGGATTACTGACTTTAAACCAAAGCACAAGACCCAATTGGCACTGAAGTTACATTGGGTTAATTAGTAAACATTCTCAGTTTTGTTTTGAAGTAATGTCCTCTCCTAAGTTACTGGAAGGTACTGTGAGTGGTCTAAGCAAGGCATAATTTACAGCGAGCATGTCAATCTCAAAGGCTAATGCGGGCCAAATAAGCAAGGTTTAATTTTATGTGGGCCACCAAAATAACATAAGCTTCAATTTTCATAGAAACACAGGTTTATTTCGAAAAGTATAGTATAAAATAGAACAATGATAAAATTAATGTTTTCTTATATACCGTTATATTGGCTGGGCTGCAAAGAATATTTGTTGTGGGCAGCCCCACAGACTGCCTGTTTGACATGCTGGATTCACAACATTGCCTGTGACCTCTACACGGTTAGGAAGAAGCACATGAACTCCCCCTGGCCAGTAATGTGTGAGAAGATTGCTGGGGAGCAAGTATGAGATATTTTCTCTCTGGTAGTCATATATAGGGCAAGATATTTGCTTTTCCTGTGGACGTGGCTGTGCCTTTGTCGGATGCCTGGGCATCTTGGGACAAGCTGAGGGACATGACATGCTGACGTGGGTAGAGCAGAGACATGGACAGCCTGCTATCTGTTTCATTGGGGCTTCTTATGTGCAATCATAAATTTCCCTGTTACTTTGGCCATTCAGATCTGAGATTTCACTGCAGCCAAGTCCATCCTAATAGAGTGATTTGCTGGAGTAGGCTCAGAGACACTACTTTAAAGAGTTTTCCTTCCATCCTATCATATTTCCTGAAATTCTACCAATAGACTCTTCTGTGGATTAAAAAAATCGAGGCCTCTATTAACTATAAATCGGCTTTCTGTAGGGGTGACACATTAACATTTTAACGCAGTATTTAATAAAACTCATTTGTCATCAAGTCCTGAGGAAGTAGCAAAAGAATCAGCAAAGTTTGAAGGGAGAAAGGAGCAGGAGCGACTGGCATGTGGGCTAATGCCAGGCAGAGCAGTTTGAGAAGATGGACTTGAACATGGGCGAGCAGTGGGCAGCATGGGGACACGCTGAGCCCAGGCAGGGACCAGGGGCAAAGATGGCTCATCCCAAATGGAAGGTTTATAACCTGGGGCTGCAGTCACTGGCATAGATCTGAGCCAGGGCAGTGCAAGCTGCAAGGCTTCTCATTTAAACTTGCATATTCGGAGGCTCCTGCGTTCTCACTCTTCAGATGCTATCAGGCTTTGCCTGTCAAGGCTTTTCGGGTTGGCTGGAGAAACGCAGCCTCTGCGACATAATGGGATTTAATCTGAGGGCAAAATATGTATTCTTAACGAGGAAGCTCCGGGCCTGATGACTTGGGCGTACACAATTTGATTTGGGTTGGATAAGGTATAATGATT